GTTCAGACATTTACAGCTAGAAAACGCCATGCTACTTTCACAGAGTCAAATCAGCCTCATTTCCTCCATATTTCCAGTCATAAGAAGTTCCACTCAGCTTCTCCCTAGGAAGAGCCACTTTGTAGAATACACTCCAGTATGGATGCTTCCATGAAAATTACAATGTTAAACTCTTCAATTCAAGAGACAGTTGTTATCTATCCGGCTCTGCCAGTCGAGCCTTCCCGACAGCACGTTGTAGATTATCTTCATGTTGACGGTTGCACTCGAAAGTCTAGGTCTCCCCACCCCCGGATGATCCTACGTCAGGAAGGTGTCAGGGTCGATCTTGGCCTCTGTCAGAGATGTTTTCAACTGATCCCTGAAGCGTCGTTTTGAGCCTTCGCGTAGCCTCTTGTCGCTGGTGAGTCCTCCAGAGTGACACTCTTGCACCATTTATCTTTGTTATCAACTTTGACTACCTACTGAGAACTTCTCTCGACAAACATCATCATCTAGGTTTGACTTTATCACCAAGACTCTCAAGTTGAAATCCTGCAAAAAAGTTGACAGATATTAATTATGCAGATGATCTATCACAGCAAACACCATTACCGATGATACAGTTCTCCTACATCATCTAGAAAATGCTGCCAACAATTTTGGTCTTTATGTTAATGCTTCTAAAACTAAATTCTCAGGCTTCAACCAGCAAGGCTCAATACAAACTGTCTCAGCTGAATCAATAAAATCTGTTGAATATTTGGCATATATAGGAAGCGAAAGAAATTCTACTGAAAATGATGTGAAAATTTGCATATGTAAAGCCTGAGCCGCCTTGAATATAATGGGTGTAATCTGGAAATTAGATTCACCAGATGACCTGAAGCGGAGATTCTTTTGAGCCACTGTAGAGGTGGTGTTAATGTATGGTGCCACTGCTTGAGTATTAACTAAACCCCTAGAGACTAAGTTTGATGGATGCGGCGAGCTATACTTAACATCACCTGGAGACAACATCCAACTAAATCAGAGCTCTATGGAACCATCCTTGACATTTCTACAATCTTACCCGAGCGCCATATACGCTTTGTAGGTCACTTCTGGCGAGCAAAACAAGAATTCGCGTGTGATCAACTCTTCTGGATATGCCTTGACGCAAGACGAGTTGTACGCCCAGTCACCATTTACATTACCAGCAATGTAATGACATAGAATGCCTCGCTAATGACCTTCTGGGGTTAATGGACCGTGATTGTTGGCGTGAAAAACTCATGAATGTCCGAGCTAATAGGACTGAAAAAAAAAAACGCAGAAGATATCGATTGACGTTGCATTTATATTTGCGAAGATCGCAGTTAACAGGAAATCAAGAAGATGGAAGAGCAAGAGAGGACCCTAAGAGAACAGAACTTACACTTATTTAGTGATTTACTAAGCATAGCATAGATGTGGCACAGGGTCAGAAGTAAGACGCACACAGTGAGAATAACACTCACGACTCAGTCGTAATTGGTCTATCGAGACAAGCTTGGTAACCATTACACGGTCAAGTTCTCGGTTTTATTTAGTAATTTCAGTAGTAAAATGATAAGACCTAGCCGCCAATCAAGTATTGGACTTAAATTCATGAAGTTCAGATATCAAAGACTAGAGACCATCAATAACGATGAAAATAATTCTAGAAAAGGCATAGGATAACTACGTTGCGGTAGTGAGGAAAGTGAATTGATACCGAGATGACAGACCAGGACCAATAACATTGCGTATTCCTCATTGGGTTATCTCCAAAATCTCAAGATACATAGTAGAAGCCCCAGACCAGATGTGACAACAATATTTGATACATTCCTGATGAGCTATTCTCTCGTTTAATCGTCTTTAATTTAATCTTTAATCTTCTTCCATTCATTTATCTTTCTTCTTTTACCAACTCTTTTTCATTCTTGTTAAGCTACTCTCTCTTTTACTCTTCCTTCTTTCTTTTATCTTTCCTCTTTTTCATTCTGGTTCGGGCCACTCTCTCCATTTATCTTCCTTCTTTTTCTTATCTTTCTTCTTTTACCTACTCTCTTTTTCATTCTGGTTCGGGCCACTCTCTCCTTTTATCTTCCTTCTTTCTTTTATCTTTCTTCTTTTACCTACTCTCTTTTTAATTCTGTTTCAGTTAATCTCTCCTTTACTCTTCCTTCATTCTCTTATCTTTCTTCTTTTACTTACTGTCTTTTTCATTCTGGTTCGGACCTCTCTCTACTTTATTCTTCCTTCTTTTTTTATCTTCTTTTACTTCCTCTCTTTTTCATTCTGGTTCGGACTACTCTCTAGTTTATTCTTCCTTTTTCTTTTATCTTTCCTCTTTTACCAACTCTCTTTTTAATTCTGGTTCGGGCCACTCTCTCCTTTACTCTTCCTTCTTTATTTATCTTTCTTCTTTTACCTACTCTCTTTTTCATTCTAGTTCAGCTACTCTCTCCTTTTATCTTCCTTCTTTCTTTTATCTTTCCTCTTTTTCATTCTGGTTCCGGCCACTCTCTCCTTTTATCTTCCTTCTTAAAAGAAAGATCTTTCCTCTTTTACCTACTCTCTTTTTCGTTCTGGTTCAGCTTCTCTCTACTTTACTTTTCCTTCTTTCTTTTATCTTTTCTCTTTTACCTACTCTCTTTTTAATTCTGTTTCATTTACTCTCTCCTTTACTCTTCCTTCTTTCTCCTATCTTTCTTCTTTTACCTACTCTCTTTTTCATTCTGGCTTGGGCCACTCTCTACTCTACTCTTCCTTCTTTCTTTTGTCTTTCCTCTTTTTTCTACTCTCTTTTTCATTCAGGTTCAGCCACTCTCTCCTTTACTCCTCCTTCTTTCTCTTATCTTTCCTCTTTTACCTCCTCTCTTTTTCATTCTGGTTCACCTACTCTCTCCTTTACTCTTCCTTCTTTCTTTTATCTTTCCTCTTTTATCTACTCTCTTTTTCATTATTGTTTATCTACACTCTCATTTACTCTTCTCTCCTTCATTTATCTTTCTTTTTTTACCTTCTCTCTTCCTTTTTCAGTCATCTTTAGCTACTTTCTTCTTAACTATTTCCTCTTCCTTTTCCCTTTCTCCCTCCACTGTTCACTTTAATTACTATTCTTTTCTCTCTTTGTCATTCGAAACATTTATCTCTTTGTTTTAACTTTCCTCTTCTATCATCATAATATTTTCCTCAACCTTCTCACCCACCTAATTTAAAGTCTATTCGTTTTTCCATTTCTCCCCTCTTCAAAATGTAACCTCCCCACCCTGATTCCACCAATTTCACGCTTCACTAAACACCGCCATTTTTATGCATACAATTCCTGCGGCTTTTCTTTGTACGTTTATTTATGTGTTTTTTTTTTTTTGTTGTTTTTAGTTCTTTATTGCCGCCATGTTCTTTTGCTCTTCGTCTTTTTTCTACTCTTTAGTGTTTTGCCTTCGGTATATTTAGGAAAAAAATAGACGTGGGGAATCCATTTTTTTCTTTCTTAACCGGTTAAAATTTCTTTGTTATTCTTCTTTTTTTATCTTCAGCGATTTGCGTTGCAACAAATAATCCGAAATATCCCAGCGAACGAGATGCAAAGTAGTTAAACCTCACATAACTATACACACCCTCTCACACGCAAAGACAACAGTGTGCATTAATGCCACATATATAAATTTGTAAGTACACAGGCATACACGTCCATGCATACACACATATACATACAGCCGAAAACACATTCACATATACGGAATTATAGATAGTCTCTCATACATATATGAAATACATATACACACAAGGACATACACATACAAACAAAATAGGCCTACATACGCATGCGCACCGAAACAAATAGGGCAACATGCATATACATATATAAAAATAATTCCGAGCACAGCCATCTGTTAGGGATGGGGCGGCGAGCCAATCCCTGTTGTAGACGCCTTCTCAGGCAATCTGTGTTTCTTCAACTCCCACAGAGCCAACTAATGGATTATATGGCAGTCATGCTGAGCAGATCTTAGTTACACTTTCTTGGAGAGAGCGCATGACCTGGCGTGAACAGCAAGGCCGGCACACTAAACCTCTCGGTAACGAGGACTTGCGGCTTTTTCCCAGGGCAAACATCGACGGTTTCTGAATAGTTCTGTCTTTCCAATTCCATTCACAAGGTTTGTGTCAATCCGTAATATGCTTTCCAGTTACTTTCGGATCCCGTTCGGAACGTCCCGGCCCCCAGTCCAAAAACATCAGGAAGTTATTATCCTTGAATATCGACCATGGTGAAAATTGAACCTGCGTCTTATCGGTCGGAAAGCGAACGTTCTAACCCCGCGTACACGTATATACAAATGTGTATACGTATATATAGCGGCTCAGATTGAGGAATCGGAGAGCCGAGTTCGAATTCCAGTCGAATCCATTACATTCACTTGCTAGCTAATACCCTTGGGAAAGGCATGAATCCACTTCTCCCCTCACCCAAGCTATGGGTAAATAGCAGGACAGACTGTGATCTTTAGTGGCAACCAGTCTAGGAGAAAGTAACTCTGAAATCAAAATTCTATGTAGCCCTAGCGTAGCATATATACAGCAAAAGTAAACGATCGCCTGCGGTCGAAAAATGATGATGATGATAGATACATACGTGTGTATCCTGGCGACCACATATAGGAGCATGCGCCTATATGTACGCATGCGCATATTCGCTGATAAATGCTTGGGATGATTATCAAAATAAGTGAAGAATATATGAATTGAAACGAAAGGTAGATTGAAAAAAAAAATAACCGAACGAAAGGAAAACAACGGAGATAATAATAGCATCAAAGGTAAAAGAAAAATGAAAGTAAAAGAAAAAAACAATTGAAAAAGCCTGGGATTATAAAATTTGGAAATGATAAATGAAAAAAAAAATAAAAGCACAAGAAAAAAAAAGTGAAGTTGAAAACATGTAGCAAGGATGTAAATAGTCGAAAAGAAAAGAAATTATTAATAAGCAACAAAAAGAAATATGAATGATGCAGGGAAGATGCAAGAGCTTTTATTTGGGGCTTTTTCTGGCCAATCAAAATTCTGACAGATGCTACGAAAGCAATCGAATATTTTCGGCCATTCCTCCATTTTTTTCTTTTTTTTTTCCTTTTTGCTTCCTTCCTTTTAACTCTTTTCTTCTTGCTTTCATTTCTTTTCTTTCAACTTTCTTTCTTTTCCATTCCTTCGTAGCTAAAACCATTTATTCTTTTCCTCTTCCCTTCTTTCTTTCTGTTTTCCTTCTTCACCATACTTTCTTACATAACAACCATTCAGTTTTTTTTACTATTTCCTTCATTTTTTTTATTTCCTTTCCTCCCATTCCTTCTTAGTTAACAACAATTCTTTTCCTTTTTCCTTCCTTCTTTCTGTTTTCTATCCCTTCCTTCATTCTTCATCTTTTTCCTTCCTTTTCTATCCTTCCATTCTTCGATCATTCTTTCCTTTTCCCTCTTTCATTCTTTCCTTGTTTTTTTTGTTACTTTCCTTCCTCGCTTTCCTTCCTTCCTATGTGTCCTTGCTTTTTTAAAATTTTTCCTTTCGTTATTTCTTTTTCTTCCTATTTCTTTCCTTTTCCTTTGTCCTTCTTCCTTTTGCTTTCTTTTCGTTTCCTGAATTCTTATTTTTCTTTCATTTCTTAAAATTTCTTCCTTTTTCGTATAATTCTTCCTTTCTTCTTTTTTTCTTTCTTTTCGTATTTCTTCTCTCCTTCCTTCCTTCTTTCCTTCCTTCCTTCTTTCCTTTTTTGTGCTTCTCTCCTTCTTCGTTCCTTTTTTGTTTGTTTGTTTCTTTCCGTATTTCTTCTCTCTTTCCTTCCAACCTTCCTTCCTGCTTTCTTTCTTTCTTTTCGTGTTTCTTTCCTTCTTCCTTCTTTTTGTTTGTTTGTTTTCGTGTTTCTTCTTTCCTTCCTTCCTACCCTCCTTACTTCCTACATTCCTTCCTTCCTTCATCCTTTCTTTCTTTTTTCTTTCTTTTCGTGTTTCTTTGCTCCTTCTTTCCTTCCTTTCTTCTTTTTGTTTGTCTGTTTTCTTTGTTTGTTTCTTTCTTTCTTTGTAGAATTCATATTTCCTTTCTTTTACTTCGTTTTTAAATTTCCTTTTTATCGTATCTTTTTTCTTTTTTTCCTGCTTTCTTTCTGTTGTTTCATAATTTTATTGGTTCTTTTCTACCTTTTTTTTTGCTTTTTCCTTCTTTTTCTTCACCCTTTCTGTCCTTCCTTCTTTCTTTCCTTCTTCCTTCCTTTCTTCCTCCCCCCTTCTTTTCTGTTACTCTTTCCTTACATTCTTTAGCCTTTCGTTATTCTCTTGCTTCGTTTCTCCTTCGTTAACTTCCTCCATCCCTTTTTTAATCTTTGGTTTGTTCTTCATTCATCATTTTTATTTCCTTTTCTCTCTTCTTCATAACTGCTTCTTTCCTTCATTCTTTCTCCCCCTTCGCTTTCTCTTTTGTCTCCTTCTATTTCTCCCCCCCACTTCATTCCTTATCTACCTTTCCTTCTTTCTGTGGAGCGCCTACTTTTATAATCTCTACTGTTTCCTGAACTCGTTACGTTGCCATTATACAGAGTGCTGCGATTGGTAAATTGTCGCCATTTCATATTTTTAATTTTGCGCATGCGCGTCTTTTGTTTTACATTTTGTCTATTGCACAGCATAGAAGGGTCAGTTGGACACCATTTCTGACTAAAAGGGCATCATGAGGCAATCCACCTCGCCAGAAATTTGGAAACGGCATGTTGTACTGTTTGGCATTCGCACTGGAAACTCCAATACGAACATTTCAGTGTGTTTGGGTGTCAATCTGAGGACAGTGAAGAGGATTCAGAAAGAGTTTGATGAGTCTAATGGTGATTACGTAGGTTTTGGAGTGATCACTATTGATATCGACGTTATTCCCCCATTCATCTTCCCACAGGGTCTCACACTCAATACAGAGGCTTACATCAAGTGCCTTGAGGAGGTAGAGCTGCCCTGGTTCAAAAGGGTAGTTGCTGCACCATGTCGCACAAGCAGGGGAGCCCAGTCATGGCTGGCAGATAATCTCTGCGACGACATCACCACTTACATCTGGCCACTCCCTAGACTGCAACCCACTTGATTATTATGTGTGGAGCGCAGTCTTTGGTGTTACAAGGAGTTTTGTAGCCTTCTCTCTCGAGAAGGCAAGAAAACTCCTTGTAACACCAAAGACGAACTAAATGCAAGGATTATAGCAGCATTAACCTACTTAAACAAGGAGATCGTCCAGAAGAGTTGCAGGAGATTCCGAAGTCATCTGGAGGACGTAGTTGAAGCCAATGGCAATTTTATTGAATAGATTTACTCTTTAGTATTTCAAGATATTTTCGTGTAATTTTGGTAAATATCTGAGGATTTCGTGGACCGAGAGTGTGAACAACGATGAGGTCTTAGAGAGGATGCATAAAAGAAGGAGGCTCATGCTTAACATCAGGCAGAGGCAGCTGAAGTTTCTGGGACACATAATGAGGAAAGAGGGCCTGGAGAATCTGATACTCACGGGTCGAATAGAGGGAAAGAAAGACAAGAAAAAGCAGCGCATGACATACCTGGCGAGCTTGAGCAAGTGGATGACAGAACGTGGTCTGGGTGAGGAAGCAGAGGGAAGGAACTTGTTGAGAGCTGCAAGGGAAAGAGGGAAGGTGGAGAGCCATGATCGCGTAAGTCCCTAAAAGGACATGGCACATAAAAAGAAAGGATCTGTTAAACTGAGAAATCAGTACCATTTTCATTTCGGCGGCATTTAGACGACAATTTATCCATCGCACCCTGTATATCTGCTAAAATGAGATGTCGGCGTTTTTGTTTGTGTTTTTTTTCATTTTTGCTTCATGTAGACGACAATTTAAGCATCGCACCCTGTATGTCTGTTAAATTGGGTTCTCGGCATTTTTTGTTCATTTTTGCTCCATTTAGATGACAATTTATCCATCGTACCCGGTATGCTTGTTAAAATGAGATGTTGGCGTTTTTTTTTCCATTTTTACTCCATTTACACGATAATTTATCCATCGCACCCTGTATGTCCGTTAAAATGAGGTCGCCGTTTTTGTTCATTTTTGCTCCATTTACACGACAATTTATCCATCGCACCCTGTATGTTTGTTAAAATGAAGTCGGCGTGTTCCCCCCATTTTTGCTCCATTTAAACGACAATTCATCCATCGCACCCCCATGAGATGTTTGGTTTTTGTTCATTTTTGCTCCATTTACACGACAATTCATCCATCGCACCCTGTATGTCTGTTAAAATGAGATGTCGGCGGTTTTTTGACAATTCATCCATCGCACCTTATGTCAAAAATGAGATGTCGGCGGTTTTGCTCCATTTGTTAAAATGAGAATTCATCCATCGCACCCTGTATGTCTGTTAAAATGAGATGTCGGCGGTTTTTTGTTCATTTTTGCTCCATTTACACGACAATTCATCCATCGCACCCTGTATGTCTGTTAAAATGAGATGTCGGCGGGTTTTTTTTTGTTTTTATTTTCATCCATCATTTATGTCTGTTAAAAATGATTATCGGCGGTTTTTGTTCATTTTTTGCCCATTTATGTTTCATCCATGTCCCTGTATGTCTTTAAAATTCCGTCTTTTTTTTCTTATTTTTGCTCCGCTTATTTGCTCATTCATTGTTCTCTTTTTTTCCGTTTTTATTTCTTATTCTCCGTTACTATATTGTTCTTTTTTATCCCATTTCGTTTGTTGTTTCCCACGTTTGTTGATTCATACACTTGATTATCCATTCTTCCTCTTCAACTCTTCTGCTTTTTACTGCCTGTCTGTTTTATTCGTTTCTTCATTTTATTCTTTTGTCCTAATGTTTTTTCAACCTTCTCCACCTTTTTCTTCTTCTTCATTCGTAATTCTTCCTTTATCTAATTTCTTTCGACCTTGATTTCTTTCCCTCTTTTTCTCGATATTTCGCTTTTTTTTTGTTCTCCTGTTATTCGACTCATATTCTCTTCCTTTTTTATTCATGTACCTTTTTTTTAATCTATTTTCTTTCGGCGTAGATTTCATTCCCTCTTTTTCTCTTGTTATTTCTTGTTTTCCTTCTTCCGACATTCTACCCACTGTCTCTTCCTCTTTATTGATATTCCTTCTGTTATCTTTTTTCAGTTTAGCTTTCATTCCCACTTTTTATCGTCGTTTCTTTTTCTTCTTCTTCCGTCTTTTTGTTATTTGGTCCTCCTCCTCCTCCTTCTTCTTCTTCTTCTTCTTCTTCTTCTTCTTCTTCTTCTGCTGCTGCTGCTGCTGCTGTTGTTGCTGCACCATTCTTCAACTTCTTTCTTCTTCTTCTGCTGCTGCTTCTGCCATTCTCCACCAACTCCTTCCTCTTCTTCTTCTTGCACACAATAAATACCTAACAGAAATAATTTCTGACACTTGTTCGACTTTCTCAAAAAATTGTTTATCCCAATCTTAATCATTTCATTTTTGGTGTATTTTTCATTTAATTTCATCCTGATGTTAATTTTGCGTTCAGCTTGCCTTTATTTATCCGCATTTCTACGGATTGCCTGTAAACAATGGCGCGCTTTTTCTTTTTGTTTGCCCGCCTTTTCTCCTTTTAATCCCATTTCCGACATTGTCTTCTCATTGGTTCGTTTTACGGCTTTTTCACTTGACATTTCTTTCCGTTTCTTTTTGCATGTTTTGATTTCATTTTTTCTTCTTTCCTTCATCATATTTGCCCAACAATTATTGTTTTTTTTTTGTTCAGTACCTCTATTTCGTTTTTTCTTTCTTTTAATCGAGGGTTTTTTTCTCTTAATTCCAAACAGGTCTTTCTTTCTTTCTTTCTTTTCTTTCTTTCTTTCTTTCTTTCTTTCCATTGTTTTATAATGTTTTTCTTTCTTTCTTTCTTTCTTTCTTTTTTTCTTTGTTAGTTCCATTGTTTATCAACACTATTCTTTCTTTCTTTTTTTCTTTCTTTCTTTCTTTCTTTCTTTGACTTTTCCCTTTTTCCACATTGTTTTTGTGCCTGGCAGTCTTTTTTTCTTTTCTTTTTTTTCTTTCTTTTGTTTTATAATGTTTTTTCTTTCTTTCTTTCTTTCTTTCTTTCTTTCAATTAGTCTATCCATTGTTTTACAACACTATTCTTTCTTTCTTTCTTTCTTTCTTTCTTTCTTTCTTTCAATTAGTCTATCCATTGTTTTACAACACTATTCTTTCTTTCTTTCTTTCTTTCTTTCTTTGACTTTTCCCTTATTTCCACAGCGGCCTGTCTGTTTTTGTGCCTGGCAGTCTTTCTTTCTTTCTTTCTTTCTTTCTTTCTTTCTTTCTTTCTTTCTTTCTTTCTTTCTTTCTTTCTTTCTTTCTTTCTTTCTTTCTACTTGTCTATCTATTGTTTTACAAATTTATTCTTTCTTCCTTTCTTTCTTTTAATCGTGAATTTCCCCCTTATTTCTACAGATGTCGTTCTTCTTTCTTTCTTTGGCCCCCACCGATTTGTCGCTTCATCAATTTTCTCTCAGGGCTATTCTTCGTTTGTTTCTCTTTTGATCCTCTGAGCACTTAATGAGCTATCACACCCCCACTGGTTCGATCCCTACTGGGTGTCTCACACTTGCGAACTTATTCTAAATTAAGCTAGAATTTTTCACCTCGATATAAGGGTTAGCGGGCAAGTTGAGGCAGAGAATTATTAGTGAATTCTGTTCGCTCAGTAGGGATCGAACTCAACGCTCCTCTAACAAGTGAAGGGTTTATTAAGCATGTTATGACAAAAAGTCACAAGCGTGGAACATCATATCAAAGCAGTAATCGTATGGAAGACGATTTTCTTACTACTGTTCCATAAGGGGGCGCTGTGAAGACAGTTTTTCACTATTTTTCAATATAAACCCCTTGACATTAATGCAGTTAGTCCAACGAAGCTTAAGCATTGCAAAGACTATACCACAGCACATATGATCTCATTACCGATTTCAAAATAGCAACCACGCAGAGGGGGGATATGAGTTTAGAAAACAGGAAGAAGTCAGATGGAGCTAAATCTGGTGTCTAAGGAGGATAGGGTCGCAATTCAAACAGTTGTCTGCTTCATCTACTGCAACATGAGCAGTATGAACGGGCGTGTTATCCTGGAGAAAGAGCACACCTGCCGCCCGCTTCCATCTACGTTTCGACTTGATTGCTTCGTTCTTTCTCAAACTATGAGGAACACCCACGCCAGGCAACACTAATATTTAACTCATCAAAGAAAATGGCACTATAGAGAAAATTCAGCCCAAACCTTTGACAAAAATCGAACCAGTGATTTTCCAAGACAGTCACCATCATTTTAACACATAAGCCGAAATAACACGGCAAAAACAATTCAGTAAAACCCCAAAAGAAAATACATGTAATGAATGACTGTAGTGAGATCAAACTGTGTCATTGATAAATTATTGAATGTTTTATCAATATATGAACACGTAATTGATGCATCTTTTATTTAAGATCCAAGGACACTAACGATATTAATATAATATTTTTTTTTAATTTAAGAAATTAAACAAGATGACGATGGCACAAAGGGGACTGATATTTTGTCAGTTAATTTTCTAAAGGCTGGTTTAAATTATAGAAAACAAATCACACAGTCGGAACTACAGAAGTAACTCCGGACTACTAAGATAACACCAGAAAAAATATCAACAGTAGAAACAATATGGAGAAATCTCACCCTAATAACCGCTTTTAGAGAGAAACCAGAAGTACCTGGACACAGGATAGCCCAAATCACAAGAAAGAGAAAATAACCTTAACATCCATACAAACAGGAATGCTAAGTAAAGGACTAAATTTAAAAACAACACCCTTGTTATGTTTTGCATATCTCTCTGTGTAGTAGTAGGCGTAGTACAGATAACGTGTCCTGAATAGCAACCGGGTGTGGTAGGTATGTCCCCGCCAGGATCGCCAGTTGTTGTCTATTTATACTTGACTATCTAATTTGCGTATGATATACAACCACAAAAGCATATGTAGTAGAAATTAAAGATGATGCTTCAGACTTCTGCAGAAGGCTAGCCGAATAATACAAGAAGAAGAGTAAGTCTAGCAGTACAATAAAAAAAGAAGAGTAAGGGTAGCCGAACAATACAAGAAAAAGACAAGACTGGCAGTACAATAAAAGAAGACTAAAGGTAGACGAACAATATATGAAGAAGCCTAAGTTTAGCAGTACAATAAAGCTAGCCGAAGATTACAAGGTGTAGGCTAAGGCTAGCCGTGCAATACATGAAGAAGACTAAGTCTAGCAGTACAATAAAGATGAAGACTACAATAAAGCCGAACAATACAAGAAGAAAACTAGAGCTTGTAGAACAATACAGGGAGAAGACTAAGGCTATCCAAACAATACAAGACTCTAGGCTCGCCGTACAATACAAGAAGACTCTAGGCTAGCCGAACAATACAAGAAAAAGACTAAGCCTAGCCAAACAATAAAGAAGACTCTAGGCTAGCCGAACAATACAAGAAGAAGACTCTAGGCTAGCTGAACAATACAAGAATATTCTAGGCTAGACGAACAATACAAGAAGAATACTAAGGCTAGCCGAACAATACAAGAAGAAGACTAAAGATAGCCGAACAATACAAGAAGTCCAAGCCTAGCCGGACAATATAAGAAGTCCAAGGCTAGCCGAACAATACAAGAAGAAGACTAAGGCTAGCAGTACAATACAAGAAGAAGTCTAAGGCCAGCTGAATAATACAAGATATAGGCTAAGGGTAGACGTACAATACAAGAAGACGACTAAGTCTAGCAATACAATATAAGATTAAGTCTAATGCTAGCCGAACAATACGAGAAGAAAACTAAGTCTAGCAGTAAAATTAAAGAAGAAGACTAAGCTAGCCGAACAATACAAGAAGACTAAGTCTAGCAATACATACAAGATGAAGACTAATACTAGCCGGACAATACGAGAAGAAGATTAAGGCTTGGAGAACAATACAGGGAGAAGACTAAGGCTAGCCGAACAATACAAGAAGAAGACTAAAGATATCCGAACAATACAAGAAGTCCAAGGCTATCCGAACAATACAAGAAGAAAACTAAGGATAGCCGAAAAATACAAGAAGAAGTCTAAGGCTAGCTGAAAAATACAAGATGTAGGCTAAGGGTAGACGTACAATACAAGAAGACGACTAAGTCTAGCAATACAATATAAGATGAAGTCTAATGCTAGCCGAACAATACAAGAAGAAGACTAAGTCTAGCAGTACAATTAAAGAAGTCCAAGGCTAGCCGAGCAATGCAAGAAGACTAAGTCTAACTGTACAATACAAGATGAAGACTAATACGAACAATACATGAATAAGCCTAAGTCTAGAAGTACAATACAAGAAGAAGTCTAAGGTTATCCGAACAATACAAGAAAGATGTAGGCCAGACTAAGTTTAATTTCTGACTTAATATCTATTTATTTTCTGTATTTTCTGGGATATTCCTTTTTTCTCTTAGTATTTTTCTGAGAATTTGCAATTTTTACTCTCTTTTCTTAATATATACTAAACTTTTAAAGTACGTAACAAGATTAAATGGGCACAAGAAGACTGTGTTGCGTCAAGCATCAACTTGGGGAGGGCATTCTTTTATTCGTCTCTCCTTCAACCTTCGTTTTTTATTCATTGTTTCTTCGCATTTTTATTTATCTTCCATTTTTTTTTTGTCTTTACTTGTGTTTCCTTATTTTCTTCTTCCACTCAATTTGCGATTCTTTCATCTTTTTATTCCGTCTGTCCAAACTTGTATTTCTTCCGTTCCATTCATGCGATCATTCCTGCTTTCAAGAATCCATCCACTTTCTCTCGCTTTGATAATAGCATGGAAATATCGCCTCCGTCCATTGTTAGATGCATTATTCTGCTACAGAGCCCCATCTAAGATGGCAACGAATTGAAATGGAGCTTAATGACTTTTCAGAAGATTCTTGATTCAACTTGCCATCTTGTTATTTGCTGAAAATTGAAAAGAAAACTTTATCTGCATTTTAAAATGTATTCTTCTCAACCGTTATTTATTCTCTGTAAACAATATTCATGTATTCAACACTTTTGTCTTTCTTGATATCGACAGACAATTCCATTCCTCTTACAAGAACCGGCACCATTAAACAGGCCTTTACATTTTGAAGAAATGTTTTACAGGGATCTGTTACATGGCACAATGGTTAGTAAATTGAAGGACCGATTAGTACGTGTTGTGAGTTCTTGATTAATCCATTCATTTTTTATGGCTTATCAACCCTTTACAGGTTATTCAAAGCCAGAATATATTTTTAGATTGTAAGATTTTTTTTGAGATAACGGTTTAGTGATACAAGTCTTACTAATTAACACATAGCTGGGGGAGAAGAGGTGAATTCATATACATTTTACTTATTATAAAACGCAGATTGTGTGTGTGTGTGTGTGTGTGTGTCTGTACGTTTATATATTGGATGGGATTTCCTACATTTTTCAACTGATTTCAACAAAACTCCACTTTTTTTTGGCAGGTAGTGTTTCTTATTGTCTTGCACACTTTTTTCTTTATTTACATTCAGAATGCTTTAAAAATTCCATTTACAAGACAATTGTTTATAATAAAATTCTATTCAATCGGTAGACTCATAACGATTGAAAACAATGTTTTTGTTTAAGTTTGGGTTTGACCAATTCGTAAAAAAAAAAAAAAAAAAAAACTAATTAAGACATGCGTGTCCGTCAACCTTAAACAATAATCTTTGTCAATTATATTTTTCAGTCTTCATGATGGTCGATACTTGATCTATCTCTTACTGTTACATCCCCGGGCAACGCCGGGCTCTACTGCTAGTAACTGATAAACAAACAATAATTTATAATGTGCATGTAAAATGAGGGATCAATTCTATATAATAATCAATATATAAACTGATCCCTCACTTTATGACCGCGGTGGTTTCTTTACATTTATATTCCAGTGAATGTAAATGCCTCCAGGACGTTCCTCTGAAGCTAATCAGTATTTAATTCATTGATTCAGTTGCTTTTTACGGCTTATCAACCCATTGCAGGTATTTAAAGCCTGACAATATTTTTAGATTGTAAGAATTTTTTGTAAGATTTTTTTGTTAGATAATAATTGTTTAGTGATAAAATTCTTACTAATTAACTCGTAGCTTGGGGAGAACATGTGGATATATACCTTTCCCAGGGGTATTTGCGCGTAATCGAATATAACGAACCCAAAGAGAATTGGAACACGGTTCTCTGATTAATAATTCCGAGCCATTATCCATTACACCATTATTGTATATATGAATTCTTTTTAAATAAGAATGTTTTCAATTATCAGTTGTATAATTTATTCCTATTCATGCTTTTCCCAAAGTTATTAATACAAAATAAATTAATCTCAGTCTGTGTTTGAACTTGGTTCAGTGATTCCATTTCCCATGCTGCTAACTACTTAACCAGTAACACCTTTATTTTTTAAATAAATACATAACTGTTTACATTGCCTAAAATTAGGACAATTTTGGTTTATGCCGTATCACATAAAAATATATCCCTTTTTACCGATGAGCCAGAAATAATAATTTTGACCCTAAATTAGTTGGTGGTGGGCCCAGAGGTCATCATCAACTATACAATGTTTATCCTTGAGTTAAGTTACCCTTTTAGATTAGTTTCCAATTATCAGGGATCAACCGTTTAACAGGATACAAGATATAGCCAAGGGAACACTGTCTTTATCGTAATAACTAGGTATTCACTAAAAAAATGTCAAGTAGAGTTTAAATTGCCTGAAACGGCGATATTGCGTCAATTTTCCAAATAGAATGTAATTATAGATTCAAACCTTGGAGAATTGTTTAACACAGCCATTCATCTGTTTTATTCAAGTCTATATATAAAATTCTGTGACTTAGTTAGTCTGTCCCTCACATCCTCTAAAATAGCCATACATTAACCGATCGAGACCAAATTATGGGGAGACGTGCAAATAGGTGAGCGAGTACAAAGTACAATTGGTTTTACTAGCTTAGAGTAAAAAATTCCTATTATTTTTCTGTAAAAATTAAAAGTTTTATTATTTAACATATAAAATAAACTATTTTAAAAACTATTTATTGATTAAAATAACACATACTTATTTAATAAAAATGCAATATTGTTTTTTACATATCTTTTCTTTAAGATTTTACATACAGGAATCCAGTTCGCCCTGGTTTTGCGAGAACTATAAACAAAGCACAAAGCTGAATGCTTCAAAAAGTTGGATTTGGCTTCAGGAAGAAATATTTCCGCATGGCCAGTTGTATGTTGCATGCTCAAGAGTAAGAAATCCTAAGAATGTATTCTTAGCTGTTAAAAAGGATAAAATGAAATTTTTTGAAAAATATTGTTTACCATGATGTTTTACTAAAATAAAATAAAATAAATTATTAAACTACGACAAGGGTTCTTTCAAAGTATTGTTTCAAATAAGTCAGCTTAATCGAATTTCATTGATTGGTTTGTGAAATTGAACGAAACGTAGTTTAGAAATCTCGATAAAAACGTTAGCGATAACTTCAACAATACTAAATACTGTGATGATTTCAAAAAAGATTACGTATCATGGACTGAAGTACAATATACATACATACATACGCTATTAGTAACAGGAAATCGATCAAAATTAGCCACTCCTGCACTAATAACATGTACCAAATTATCAACTCCCATAATAATTATATCTTAAGTAAATTCTATGAGAAAAACAATAAACCTAGCATGGAACCACCTGTAATTGTAGAAATAGAGTTGAAGCAAATAAGTTGAGGCAAATACAGATCTACTAGGGTAATATACCAAGCAAACATTACCCCTGAAGAAAATGATAAATTATAATGTTTACATTGGAATTTTCGCGGGGAAATGGAAACAGAGATTTTATACCTATAGGCACTCTTTTACCAATCCTAAATTTAAAATACCAAATAGCCCTTTCAAAAAAAGATCATGAGGTTAATATCGGGGTTGATTCCAGCGGGCCTCTTTCCCTTTTAGAGAGATAACTCCCGCCCTCCCCTTATCACCAATTCGGGTTTTTTATCCGCTTGAGTCGTCATTTTGGGTAGGTTCGATATCTTTTCCTCGACTGCTATCTAAATCAAATTCTAAATCCCTGATTCCAAAACGAATTCAGTCCAGGGTTGAAGAAGACTGCCGCAAAGTTGCGCTGGTTGAAATAGGCTATACACACATGAGGTAATTTTGGATTTTTTGTTGTGTAATATATCATTATTTTTAAAAAAAATATGTCTGCATCGCGACACAGAAATTACTATGTTCTGAAACCGAAGCTTAAATCTTAAAATGTAACTTTAAAGTTTAGAAGTTATTCTTAGCATCGCTTGAGAATGGAACCGAGCTGCGAATTTTAAGTTTAAACTTTAAATTTAAATTTTAAGATTTAAGCTTCGGTTTCGAAACATGCTAATTTCTGTGTCACGGTGAACATATTTAAAAAAAATAATGATATATATATATATATATATATATATATATATATATATATATATATTTCGATAAACGTGCAATCAATTTACAAATTCATGAATTATTCATACAAAAAAAAATGCAAAGGTTAATGATTTAATTGGCGAGAAATCCATCGTCGCAAACAATTCAAATAATATACAAAAAAACCGAACCTGTTATGAATGAAAAGATCCTTGTTTCTATAAATTTCTGCTGCATTAGTTCTTATTTTTACTACAAGCTTTCGTCTGTTCCTACAGACATCTTCAGGTATGGAATAGATGTTGTTCTTGTTTTTTCTCTCAGTAATAAGAGGACAACGAAAATATATGTATTATTGTATCCGAAAAATGCTATTGGAAATGAGTTATTGTTTTTGGAGTGTGCAGTAGCAACACTGAGTTTGATTTTAAATTTTACAGTTGTGCGTACTTGTACAAATAAAAATAATTATATTATTATGCTCTACTTTGTATCGAGCACTTTAAAAAAATAAAAATGGTTGATAAAGAACTCTGGATTATATATATATATATATATATATATATATATATATATATATATATATATATGATTAATTGTGTATTTTAGAATACAATATCTTTTTTATAAACGTATTGTTAAAACTTCATCTTCAAAATACTTCTGGAAAATGGACATTAAGAATAATGAAAGCACTAATAATAAAAATGAAACTATGATCATGGTCACAGTTTGTTGTTGGAAAATAAAAAAAAACATTCCCATCACTCTGGAAACATACATATAAATATGCATATTCAGTTTAAAAAAATCAATAACAGCTAAAAAGAATAGCCGAAAGCGATCGAAATAGACAACATTCAGGCAATTTTGACACAGTTTTGGTCCAGAAAAGAAAACTCTTATACGAACAACACAAGAATTAAATAAAACGCTTAATCATTCGTCTTTAATGAATATATATATATATATATATATATATATATATATATATATATATATATATATATATATATATATATAGTTCATTTTCTTCAGAAAGTCATTCATTCCTGCAGTTGACTGCTACTAACAAGCAGGTCTTTTTTCTCTCTGATGATGGCTATGCCAGCCGAAACTAGTTGTGGAACCTATTTGAAATAATAAAACAAAAAAAATATTAATATACAATCCAGTGTCCTAGATTAGCTGAAAATTTTAATTTTTTAATATATTTTATTGTTCAAAACACACACACACACACACACACTATATATATATATATATATATATATATATATATATATATATATATATATATATATATATATATAAAAAAACAACATTTACCGGCCTGAATATCCGAAAGATTTTCACAAAAAAAAATCATGAAAAAAGAACATTGTCATTTGATTTTGCAAAGACATGCTATAGCATCTGATTTACGCATAATTGTGGAAAATCACCTTTCAACAAGACAATGACCAAAAACACTCTTCTAAATTAGGTCAAAATTAAAAAAAAAAATGAAGAAAATTTTGGAAATTATAACCAGACCTATCTTCCAATGAAATAGTATGGAATAAAATGAATAAGAGATTTCGAAGTGAATACCAAAGGCGTGAGCGTGAGCGTTTTCAATACTTGTAAAATACTTGGAAGTTTTGCTAATTATTTTAAAAAAAAACCCAAAAAAAACTATTGGAAAGAATGCCAAGAATTTGTAAACCAGTAAAAAAAAAAAAACGGGATGAGTTTATTGACGAAAACAAAATATTCAGCTGTTGCATAATTTAAAAAAAAAATTAAATGCTTACCTTTGTCAAAATAAAGGCAAATTAAGGTGTTTCTAAAAATACAGGGTATCCACAAACTTTTTGCCTGTAGCGTGTATATATATACATATATATAAACATATATATATATATATATATATATATATATATATATATATATATATATATATATATATACACACACATATATATATGTAATAACGATATATATTTCTATATATCAAGAACATAGATAAAATTGTATGACATTGTAAAAAAAAAAGAAGCTTTTTGACGCGTTTCATTCGATGAAGTCCTAAAGGACAAAACGCGTGACAAATTTTTCCAATATATATATAAACACGCTAACACACACACACATACACACACACACACACATATATATATATACATATATATATAAAACATATATATATATATATATGTGTTTGTGTTTGTTTATGCGTGTGTGTGTGTTTTATAAACAATTAAATAATTGATTTCAAATTTTATTTTCTAAATTGAACTTAATGCTCTATTACGGTAAACTGGAAATAAACGGGATAGGAAGATTGTGTTGCGTCATTTAAAAAAGAGGACAGATTTATTGAAATATATATATATATATATATATATATATATATATATATATATATAGTATGTAATGTTTTTTGGCAGTCTATCGTAAGGCGAATATGATGATGATAGAAGCTGAGCGTTAAGCATGAAAAGAAATGATGGATATATTTTGAAATTTTTTTTTGTTCGTGGACACATCATCGTTCCGCACGTTGACAGGATGTCGATTAATGGCTGTCATTTGAAATCTTATCCTCAAGGAGAAAACGGAAAACGAATATTCTTTTTTTAACCCCGGAATATATTTGAACGGTTCAACATATCCATCCTTTCAAATAAATATGTCGTCCTGGGTATGACGATAAACTACATCTGGCAGCAAGGCCGCTGATCTGGAGATTGGAGGCTTTGGGAACCACCTCTTAATTGATGTTGTTCCCAGGTCACTCGTAATCCAGTGGGGTAGCACCTGTTAGGGTCCCAGATAAGGTAAATAGTGACCCCCCCCAACCAAAAAATCAACTGTACATTTTTAGAAAAAAAAAAGCAACAATACAGTTTTATAGCAAGGTGTCAATCAATGCACCACTAAAAAATATATAGAAATACATTTTTTATATTAAAATTACCAATAATATATTTTATGATCTATAAAATATATATCTAAAAAACATATCTGTTTAAAATCATGTACAAAATATCTCTAGTTCAAAGAAGAAAATTACGTATTTAGATTTCGGCATTAAATAATCCACCATTTAAAATCAACCAAACAACCACAAACAACCATCATGAAATAAATCTTGCATATATATCTTTCTTACTCTCTGTCTTCATTTCTTTCTTTCTTTCTTTCTTTCTTTCTTTCTTTCTTTCTTCGTTCTTTCTTTCTTTTCCTGCAATGATTTGATCTCTTTTTTCTTTTTCTCATTCCCGCTTTCATTCTTAATTTAACTTAAACGACTTCCTTTTCTCCCTCGTTCTATTTTTACATATTTTTTGTCTTTTAATGCAACGTAAATTCATCTCTTATTTTTCTCGTAATGTTCTTCCATTGTCATTTATTCTTTTTCTCTCAGATACGTCTTTCTTTCTTTCTTTCTTTCTTTCTTTCTTTCTTTCTTTCTTTCTTTCTTTCTTCATTCCTTTCTTTCTTTCTTTCTTCATTCTTTTCTTTCTTTCCTTCTCATAACTTCATTCTTTTTCTGTCACATCTCTCTGCTGACGAATAATCATTCCTTCCATCATTTAGGGATGATTTCCTTCCATGTCAGAAATTAAATATATCTAATTTGAAATAATATGAATTTCAAAATCTATCTATCTATCTATCTATCTATCTATCTATCTATCTATCTCATTCTGTTAATATCTATCTATCTATCTATCTATCTATCTATCTCATTCTGTTAATATCTATCTATCTATCTATCTATCTATCATCTCATTCTGTTAATATCTATCTATCTATCTATCTATCTATCTATCTATCTATCTATAATATCCTACAATTTCTTAAAGAAATCAAGCTGTATTCCAAAGTATAACTTCAACAAAACTACAACATAAAACACACATATCACTGTCTCTAGTAATTACGTCCACACAAACCTGTATGAGTACAAAAACTGAGTATCGTCTACCATGTAATCAATTGTGAAAGCAGAATAACAAACAACGTATTTTTATTACTTCAAAGCTCCCCACAAAATATAAAATTCGGCATTAAATGACCCATGAAGGTGTTGCTGTGCCGTTAAATAAACAAATCTATCAATCAAACAAACAAATATGGCCCCTGCCTAGGCGCAACATTTACATCTACACTAATATCTACGACAGTCGTTTATCTTGAAAAGTAATCAGTTTTAAAGACTGACAACTAGTTTATAGGACAGTCTATGTATTATGTTTACGCCATTTATAGTCGGGATATTGTCCTCATCTTTGTCTTCATCAGATATATATCAATCTGCGTAACCTATAAAGAATTCTGAACCCTTTATTCAATCGACGGGAGTAGACTGTTCTCGTTCCACTGAGTATGTCTAGGAATATCTCATCTAGTGCTTATATTTATTTTATTGCTAATCTTAAAAAAGGAGTGGATAATCCTTTCCCTTTTGCCTTCCTCAAGGGATTTAGATAAATCATTATCGACCGGTCTAAAAATGACAGATTCTTCATAAATCCCATTTAAATGAACATTATTTTCCTATTTTCAAATTTATTGACTAATTTTTCCTCATCTATTTATATTTGGACTGTTGTCCTCATCTTTGTTGTTGTTATCACAACGCTTCAGACGTTGTGCCCTCCGGCCTTCCTCAGGTGTATATCGACCTGGGTATCCTACAGCGAATTCTGAACTGAACCCTTTCGTTAATTTACGGAGGTAGACTGTTCTTGTTTCGCCGAAAACATTTGTGTTGTAACCAACGGAAGGTTACTGAATAGAATAATCAAACGAAGGTTGGTAATGAACGATAAGACTTAGGACAAGAACAATACATATAAGATTCGCCAGCGGAGCGTAGAAGAAGTAATCAATTGCTACAAGTGAGTCGAGTGAATCCCACAATGAATCTCCAACTGCAGGATATCTACCAACCGCCCCACGCGTTAAGATGTGACACAAGGCCGAATTTAATGTGGGGTATCCGAGCACGTAGGCTCAGCCAAAAATTCCCCGTAGACTCCGTATAAAACGTGATCGAGTAGCTGTTTCCCGAGACGAGACTCTGCCCTTCGACATAGCCTCATCTGGGGATCCTCTCTGCACAGAGGCGGAGAGTTTGGCCAGCACAGCTGGAGAAACTCTCCGCTTCTGGGCAGAGCGGATCCCCAGACGAGGATTGAATAAAAATACACTTGTACTTTATTTTTTGAAGAAAAAAGTTTGTGACGATTCTGAAAGAGGATTTCTGCTGACTTATTTGCAAAGTAGAAGAGGTGATAGGAAAAGTGTGTCAACTTCCAACGAGATTACATTGACAAAGTGACTAAGAGGCCATTGCCCTAGGTAGGCTATTTTTTAATTCACAGTAAATAGTTGGATTCAATCCGGACATGTATTTAGCTTAGCTGAATTAATCCCAGCGACAAATGCAAGAAAGTGGGAAATATAAGGATTATATCAGGGACATATTTAAAGCCTGTAAACCATAACACCGCTGAAAATTAGCATTGGAAACCATACCTGAATTCTTAAATCAGACCACTTTGGTACCAAAGAAAAATACGCTCTGACAAGATACCGTCCTGGGTAAGGCGACAAACTACATCCGTGTCCTGGATAAGACTACATCCGACAGCAAGGCCTTTCATCAGGAGGTTCTGAGGAGCGTGTAACCATCTCTTAATTGCTGGTGTTTCCGGGTCCATCCTGGCCCGGGGTGGTAGCATCTGACAGGGTCTCAGCTATGGGCAAATAATTGCCCCCCCTCATCTGCAAAGGGTGTCAAAACAAAGTATAAAAATAGGTTTTATGACCAACAATACTTTTTTTGGAAAAATTTTTACCAGCAGTACATTTTTGAAAAAGAAAAATATTTCCAGCAATACATATTTGGAAAAAAAAAATACCAGCAATAAAAATCTTGTCAGCATTAAATAACCCATTGAAGTTCATATGCCGTAAAACAAAACAAAAAAATCTGACGTGATACATTAGTACTACCATTAGTATTTATTATTATTACTTATTATTATTTTATTGTTGTAAAAGTTCAGAGTATTTATTATTATTATTGTTGTTGTTATTATTATTATTATTATTATTATTATTATTACTACTACAGCTACTACCACCAGTAAATAACCCATTGAGGTTCATTTGCCGTAAAACAAAACAAAACAATCTGACGAAATACATTATTACTGGTAGTACTAATGTATCTCATCAGATCGTCAGTAGTAGTAGTAGTAGTAGTAGTAGTATTAATAATAATAATGATAACAACAATAATAATAATAATAATAAGGAGTTTCAAATGGGCGTAGAGATGCAACTACAGCACAATACACCGGCTGAAACTGCAAAATACTTAAAAAAAGACAGCAAAGACGAATGCAACCGACCAGATACAGAAGCGATGGCAAGATAAACCGCTTCATGGCAAATACTCTGCCCGTACCAAACAAGCTGACGTAGACAAAACCCGTACCCATCAGTGGCTACGTAGTGCAGGGTGGAAAGCAGAAATTGAAAGTTTTATCCTTGCTGCGCAGGACCAATGCTTACTAACTAGGAATTATCAAGCACATATACTAAAATATTGTGTCAGCCCAAAATGCAGATTCTGTGATAAATATCCAGAAACGATTGATCATCTTGTATCATGTTGCACGGTGTTGGCACCCACTGAATATAAAACCCGGCATGACAGAGTGGGCCAATATCTGCACTGGAAAATCTGCAACTTCTACGGTAAGGAAACTGAAAGAAATTGGTATGAACACCACCCAGACCCGGTTACGGAGATAGGACCTGTTACAATTCTATGGGACTACACAATACACACTGACAGAACAATCAAGGCCAACCGGCCAGATATTGTTATTAAAGACCACAAACAAAAAGATGCCTCCTCATTGATATGGCAGTCCCTAAAACTGCAATGTATCTTTGAAGATATTCAAAAAGTTGTCAAAGTACAAGGACCTTGAAATAGAAATCTCGAAAATGTGGCATATGGGAACATCAACAATCCCTGTTGTAGTTGGATCCCTAGGACTGGTTGGAAAAGATTGCAGTAGACTAATTGAAGGGATTCCTGGAAGTCCATGCCTCAAGGAGATACAAAAAATTGTTCTGACAAGTACAGCCCACACCTTACGAAGGGCTTTATCTATGTAATTTAATTCTTTTTTTTTTGTCAGTGGAAAGTGTCATGAAGCCATTTCTAACCTTAGGTCCCTGGGCGGGACCCGGAAAGAAATGTGTAAACGCCAGAAATCAAAGAAAATAAAAATAATAATAATAACAATAATAATAATAATAAATGCTCTGATGCTGCAAATATCATGGCTCTCATGACTTTTAATCTTAATGAATTGATGTTAACAGATACATATTTTATCTTGTTGATTTTTTTAATCATCTCATTCCAATGTCTGTCTAGATTTGTGAGACCAGCTATTGTAATTATTTACATTGTTTGGACTTCTGTCCTCATCTGCATTGACATATTCACGACGTTTCGGCCGTTGTACACTCCAGCCTTCTTCTTTTGAACAAAAACTCGGAGAGTTGATTTAAAAGGGAGATAACTGATACTGAGATATTCGGAAGAGGTCTGGCACATGGAACTAGAACAAGTCTGCGTTGCTTGTTATGCGAAATGGGCTATGTATTTGAGATCGGGCAAATTGATGGAGAACATCTATAATGTAAGATCACCAGTTGAAAACGAAAAACGGTGCCCAATAAGAAAGTATCATAATATTTAATTTAACCAAGTCGTAAAAGTATCATAATAAAAAGTATCATAATAACAAAGCATCATAAGAATATTTTATTTAACCAAGTCGTAAAAAGTATCATAATAAATAGTATCATAATAAAAAGTATTTAATTTAACCAAGTCGTAAAAAGTAACATAATAAAAAGTATCATAATAACAAAGCATCATATGGATATTTGATTTAACCAAATTGTAAAAAGTATCATAATAAATAGTATCATAATAAAAAGTATTTAATTTAACCAAATCGTAAAAAGTATCATAATAAAAAATATCATATTAACAAAGCATCATATGGATATTTGATTTAACCAAGTCGTAAAAAGTATCATAATAAATAGTATCATAGTAAAAAGTATCATAGGAATATTTAATTTATCCAAGTCGTAAAAAGTATCATAATAAAAAAGTATCATAATAACAATGCATCATAAGAATATTTGATTTAACCAAGTCATAAAAGTATCATAATAAATAGTATCATAATAAAAAGTATCATAAGAATATTTAATTTAACCAAGTCGTAAAAAGTATCATAATAAAAACTATCATAATAAAAAAAAATTATCATAATAATGTTCAATTTAACAAAGTCGTAAAAAAACCCTGTAAAACTGAGTTTTTATTTTTTGTTTTATTTTTAACCAAGTTATTTGTAAAAAGTCAAACCTCATAATAAAAACTTTATCATAGTGGGAAGGAAAAAAATTATCATAAATTTATGTTCAATTTAACAAAAGTCGATAAAAAAATGAAAACCCTTTCAA